TCTATCTATCTATCTATCTATCTATCTATCTATCTATCTATCTATCTACGTATCTGTATGTTTGGATGCTGGGACCACATCCTAATGTTAGATAAGTGCTCCACCTCCCCGCCACATCCGTGCTCCATAATGTTAACTCTTTTTTTTTTTTTTTTTTTTTTTTGGGTGGGGGGAGGACTTAACCACTTTGTCATTGTTTCTTTTTCTTTTTTTTTTAAATAAAAGAAATAAAGACCTGAGATGTTGAAAGAAAACACAAAGTAGAGAGTGAACAAAAAAATAAAACAGAGATTAGAAAACAGTATTTTCTCACATGAAATGGTGCAAGATCTCTGTTATTGACTTCTTATTTCTTTTTCATCTTTTGGTATTTTGAAACAGGGTCTCTCTACATGGCTCTGGTTATCCTAGAACTCACTGTGTAGACCAGGTTGGCCTTGAACTCACAGAGCTCTACCTACCTCTGCCTCCCAAGTGCTGGTCTTTCAAGGCACCATACCCAGCTAAATTGTAATTTTTTAACTATAGTTCTATTTATGGGTTACTGTGCACTTCTGTTTCTCAGACCAAGGGCTTTGCCAAGGAGCAAGGCTGTGACCTAGCCACAGGCTGTTAGGTGTGCCCAGAGATACTCACAGGGTGAAGGGAATGTTCTCACTCTCGGCCACTGTGCCATACAGAGAAATTTCGAAGGCCTGGTTGAGCTGCCTGTCAGTCTCAGTCCCAGAAAAGTGAATCTTGACTTGGTAGTGGAAGACTGTAGGGAAAGACATTGGAACAAAGGCATGTCAGTCTTCATGGAGACATTATAGTTCCCAAACAGTCAAGCAATTCTGACCCATAGAAGACACCCACAGGTGTCTTCTGAGCACCCAAACAGGAAGTACACACATTGCGCCATCTGACTTGGCTTGGAAACACTTTCTGTTGGAAGTTTTCTTCAGTGTGGCCACTGTGCATGAAAGAGACCCACCTTGTATCTGAATTGCCAACCTGGATGGACTCAAATTAATAGCCAACCACACCCAGAAAGCTCTCCATGTTCTCCACTTACCTCAGCTACCTTATATTGCTACATCTGTACCAAGCATATTTAATATTTGCTTTCTGTTATTGCTCTGCCTTGTTTCTTCCCATTTCTTGGGTACTCGGTCTCCCCCCACCCTCACCACATCTCATTCTATTTCTCTCCCACCTGCACAGGCTGGTGTGTGGCACCGTGGATTCCTTTAAACCATCAGAAAAGTCCTGAGTTTGTCTTATAAAGCTAGGTCCTACTTCAGGCTGTCCTGAAGTAGGAAGTACACCAGGAAGCAGGAACTTGAACTTCCGTATCTCTTCCCTGTTCTTCCCCACATATCCCTGGGTCTGAAACACACCTGCTATGACTGTGATGGCATCACTCAGATACTGGTCTTTTATAAGCCAAGATTCCTATGCATAGTTTTTATTATACTGCAGTCTATTGAATGTGATTTCTCTTATGCTGAGACCCAACATTTTAAACTCTAATGGCAAAAGAGTGGCAAAACTGGGTTTTGATGTTACTTTGGATGTTTATTTTCCTGAAAAACATTTCAGTACATTTTGTTCTGATAACCTTTATTTAGCTATTTGTTTTAAGTGTGTATATGTATGTGTGTGTTTTAAGACAGGATCTTGTGGAGCCCAGCTGGCCTCAAACTCACTGTGTAGTTGAAGATGGCCTTGAACTCCTGATCTTCCTGCCTCTACCTCTCAAGGGCTGGGATTACAGGTATGCACACCTGTGCCAACCTCATAGCTCATTTTATAAGGAAAATCAGTAGCTAGTTAAATAAAAACAGAAAAACAAAACAGCCTGCAAATTCACAGCTGAGCACTGGGCTCTTGCTGGTGTCTGAGTGAAGAGCTAGATGGAGTGGGTCTAGTGAAAATCCCTCTGTCCCTCCCAGAGGCACAAGGGAGGGTTCAGGACTTAGCAACATCCTTCATTAACTTTATTCCAACAGATAGACTGAGTCCATGATAATAGAGATGGCACTAATTAATTCTCCCTCCTTCCCACAGCTTCCAACCAACCTTTGTAGGGCATCTGAGAGCGAGTCTTCAGGTACATCTTGCTGCTTCTTTTGGCTCTGACCTTGTTGATCTCGTAGCCCACATTGTTGCAGCGATTCTTTCTGCAGCTCAGGCAAAGCCCTTTTTCAAAGGCTTCCTTGGAGTTGCACCTGTAGGCCTTGCTGGGATTTTCCTCATTTAGAAGAGAGTCAATGAAGAGATGAATGGAGCGCTCATGGGAGCATTTCACCAGCTGGTCCACATCTGGACATGGAGACATAGCAAATTACAGTTCTTCAGAAATTGCCTTGCACTAGGGTTGACTTGGTATCAGACCCTCCATTAGGATGTGTTCTTGGTGGCAGCTGCTCAGCTCCCTCCATAACTGTCAAGTTGACTGTTGAAAGTTGCCAAAAACTTTTGACTCTTGCCATCTTATATTTATGTAGGTTTATAAGGCCATAATAGACAACATCGGAGGTGAATTTGATTCCCTCCAGCTTAACACAAGCTTCCCTTTATTGAAAATGTCTACTGTGCATATGTGCTCCTAAAAGCACAGTTCTCTAAACTGCACCATAAAGGACATAACTTTTCAATTGGTAGTAGAGAGGTCAGTGGACAGGCTTGGTCCTCACCATCCACCTTGTTCGAGACAAGGTCTCTTGTTTGCCATTGTGTGCCCAGGCTGCCTGGCCTGTGAGCTTCAGGCATTCTCCTTTCTACCTCCACCTCACTGAGGGACTACCAGGATTACAGAGAGACACTGGTGTGTCTGGCTTTTACATGGGTTCTGTGCTCTAAATTCAGGCCCTCACACAAGTGTGGCAAGTGCTTTACCCACTGAGCCATCTCCGTCCCCAAAGTGTGCATACCGAAACCATACACCATGGGGACAGTGAACAGGATACAAGGTCATCAAGTCCGAATCCCCAAAACTCACACTTAAGCGTCTTGTGGTTCACTCACCTCCCAGGCCCCTCTCTGCAATCACACGAATGGCTTCTCCAATGTTGCATCCTGGCTGGAAAGTGCCTCCATTGGGGTAAATGTCAACGTGCCCTACTGGTTTCTGGATCCCAATACTTCGGCCAGGTGACCCCCTGGTGAATGTATGTAAGACATCCACGAAATCCGCGTCATCAGGAGAAAGGCGACTGGGGGCCTCTGCGTACTCAAAGTTAGGCCCAGCTGGATCCAAGCCTCGGTGGAAAGAAAAGGCCCCATAGGTTTTAAAGTCTGCAGCAGCTCAGTCCTCAGGCCAGCATCCTGCTGGTCTGAGTGTAACTTACAGTCTCTTACACTCCTATCAGCGGCTTGCCCTAGCAGTTGGACCTTTCAGTGACTACGAGTCAAAATAAGTAGGCACTGCCCTTCTAAAATGGAATCTCTCTCACTCACTCCCTTGCTCTCTCACTCTTATTCTCCCTCATCCCCCCAGGCTAGCCTCAAACTCTTGATTCTCATGCCTAAAGTTCCATAATGCTATATTCAGAAGTATGCCACTGTAGCCTGCACATTTTAGTTCCCCTATTTTCCACCTTTCTCCGGGATGTTTCCTTTTTTGTTTGTTTGTTTGTTTGTTTTTTCAAGACAGGGTTTCTCTGTGTAGCCCTGGCTGTCCTGGAATTGATTTGTAGACCAAGATGGCCTTGAACTCACAGAGATCCACCTGCCTTTGCCTCCCTGAGTGTTAGGATTATAGGCATGAACCATCATACTCGGCTTCTCCAGAATCACTTTAAACACACACTATAGCTGCCGATGGCTTTGAACTTGCTGCCTCCATATTTCACGTGTTAGTATTACAGGCAAGCACCATCAGGCCAGTGATTTTTCACATCTAACGGCCTGATGTCTTCTTGCAGGTTATTTCTGAATCTGAGAAGAACTTTAATCCCTGATCAGTTCGTTTTCCTTCTATCCACAGCAAACCATTTATAGCCACTTCCTAGGTGACTGTCTTATTCCAAATGCTCTCTAGAATCAGTCCTTGTCAGTCTCCCTGGTGCTGACGTGAGAGAGAATGGCATACATGTGGTCTGCTAGCTCAGCTGGAGCAGAGGAAAGTGAGAACTTCCTCAGAGGAACGTGTGAGCCCTCCTACGCCACAGCCAGTAAATGGAGATCAGACAAAAGGCGATGAACCTAGGGCACAAGCCCCCAACACTGTGGACATGGGGACCTATTGAAAGTGCTCTGATTCTCTTTCAGAATGGTAATACAGTTGGATCTTGTGATGAATGAATTGGAAAATGCTTCTTACCAGTAATTCTGTTAACCTTCTTGTTGGTCAGACTTCCTGCCACACCAGCAGCATGGGCTCCAAGGCTGTACCCCAAGAGGTGGACATTGTCCAGGGGGTAGTTAAATTCCTCCTACAGAAGAATAAATGAAAAAAGTCTTGGTGTAGTTCTTGGTCGAACATCAACACCAAAACTGATAAAAATGAAAGTATTTAAAATATTTAAAATATTAGCACTACTATAAGTTAATTTTATACTGATTTAGTGTTATAGCTAAGAGACAAATATTCTGTCATATTGAGATTTTTTTTTAACAACAACTTAAAACTAGAATTTTTTTCCAGACATCTAAAACTGTATTTTTTACATATATAAATATATATACATAGTAAATGCATATATACTTTATAAGTGTATGTATAAACTTTTACGCATTAACTGCTTTTCCAAATATCCGGCACCCTGTCATTCCTTGAAGTTAGCCAGGCCAGGACTAGATCAGACAGAAGGAAATGGGAGGAGATCCCAGACACATGGCTCAGCTTTCTGCATCAACAGATGTGGTGGTTTGAATGCATGACCTCCATCAGCACATGTATCTGAATGCTTGGTCTCCAGCTTGTGGAACTGTTTGGGAAGGGTTAGGAGGTGTGGCCTTGTCACTGAGGGTAGGTTTTGAGGTTTCAAAAGCCTACACACCATTCCCAGTGTCACTAACTGCCTGTGAGCACCACACCAGCCTGCTTGCTGTCATGCTCCCTGCCATGATGGTCAAGGATTCTAACCCTCTGAAACCCTGAGCCCCAAATTAAATGCTTTGTTTTCTATGTTGCCTTGGCCATGGTGTTTTATCATATCAATAAAAAAAAAAATAGCTAAGATGACAAGAAGCTTGGAGCCCAAGGAGTGATCTGATTCTTCCAAGTTCAATTTTGTAACTAGCAAAACAGACAAGAAAAAAGCATTTGTTATGGTAAATCCAATAAACACAGCATTTTTTGTTGTTGTTGTTGTTTTTGTTTTTGCATTGAATTCTCTGGGTTAAATAAGCTGACTTTGTCAGAGTCCTAGCTTCTCTTTAGCTTCAAAATAATATTCAAAGTTAACTCCCAGAGTGTGGCCCTAAAGAGAAGGAAGTGGATAAAACCTGCAGGCAACTCCAATTCTGGACCCTCAGCTACCTCATGCCCTCTATGTCCCTCCCACTGTCCCCCTGCCTCCGTTCATCTCTGCCCCAAACCAGGAAGTTGACTCTATGGGTCTCAACACAATCACCAGGATCTTTCATCTACTCTAAGAGCCAAACACTGTTTTGTTAGAGGTTGGTAGAATACCAACCTCTAACAAAACAGAGTCAGAACCAGGATACCACACCCATGACAGCCAGATGGTAGAAAAAGAGAGCATGCTCTCTTCCCTCTGTCCTAAAAAGCAGGCTTTCGTTCATACTACCCACTTGGTTCTTAGTCCCAGCAGAGCTTTTCATTGAAACATCAAAGGACAGGGAGGGCAGGATGATTTATTGGATGTACAATCTAGTGATTCTTACCATAACATAGAAATGCCCTGTGAAAATCTGAAATGCTTCAGAAAACACCTTAGACCTTAGAGAAAAGGCAAGAAAATGAAATAAAACCCAGCCATCTGTCTAGCTCTAGTCAAGAGTTTTATCCTAAGCACAGAGGATAGCTTCTCCTTGTCTTACCTCCATCCAGTTGATGAACCTGGCCACATCATTTCCCACCAGCTTGGTGTAGCCAGCAGACACCGGATAATGTTGCTGAGCCCGATACAACCAGTCCACCACAATGACATTGGAGTCAGGTTCTCTTTTGTACAGGGCGGCCACAAGTTTGGGCACCCAACTCTCATACATTCCTGTCACCTGGAAAGGATAATACAGGATTTTTTTCTAACTATAATTCATTATAAATATGATAACAATCTACATGAAATGAGAAATTCAATTAAGCTAGGAAATATTTCCCAGGAGAGTCGAAAGGCCAGGCCTATCAGACATGTCTGTAATTCTAGCAGCTCTGGAGAATAAAGCAGGAGATAAGTTCATGACCTGCCTCAGTTACAGACTGATATCAAGGTCAGCCTTGGGGAACTCAGTGTGTCTGTCTCAAAAACAAAAGCAGAAAGAGGGCCAGGCTGTTGCACAGTGATGAATTGCCCAGCTTCCATGTGCTGAGCCCAAAGCTCAACATTCAAAGCCAAATAACAAGAGAAAGGGAGAGACTTTTAAAGGGACGCAAACACACTGCTTTTCTTATAAAGAATGGTTTGGTGTGTAAACCATTTGCTAAGCATGCTAGGGTCTGTCCCACTGCAGCCAAAGTAAAGCCTACTAATTCTCTGTTGAACTTACAGTATTGTGACAAGTGTGTTTAAAGGCAGCTTTTCACGGAGACCTACAAAAACCAGCCGAGAAACGGGAACCTCGGAGACCCAAACCCACTGGGTCCACTTGGAGTTTTACACTTACGTGACGAGTTCTTTCAGACTCCTGCTTTGTTGTTTTGTGTTTACTAGACTGAAATACCTAGACCTGAGCCTTGTTTCACTCCTTGCACCAGACAGACTGCACAACTTTTCACCTAGTTTCTGTGTCCTGTGTTGGGGCAAGGCCAGCCTGAGAGATATGGACTGTAGTTCTACCCCCTCTATTAATCAGTTCTGTAAACTAACTTCAGCTTTCCTGGACACCTGCAGCAGAAGGCTGGCACAGAATAGCTCAAAACTCCCTCATACGTTTCCATTTGTGACCAGTGTGGTTCCTGATCTCCACAACTATTTTAAGCATGGAGAGAAAGCAAAGAAGAAAAGGTACAAAGGTGATGTCAGCCCACTAAAAACCCCGTTAAGCCTCTTTGAACATGTCTCAGTCTGGGTTCAGAGTGTGTCTCGGAAGGAAGAAAGTGGACACGTGCAGACGGTGCAACTCTGGAACGCTGGTCCTAAGCACCTCTCTTCCTGGCTGTTGCACTGACTGTCTTTTGCAGCTCCCATGCCAGGTCAGAAGATGGTGTCATTTCTTCAGTACTGTTAACTGCAGTGACTCCTTCCCACCCCACAGAGACACCCAGCAAGTGCAAGGCCCCCGTGGGGGTCAGTGGCTCTCCTGATGTGACAGCAGAGGATCCTGACTTCCCTGAGTCTGTGCCCTTGAGTGGCCTGGTAGCTTATCTCCAATAAACTGTTTGCTCTAGGTTCTGTTGTACCTTTTTCTATATCAGTGTTTCCAAGTTAGGCAGTCTGGAAAAGGGCAAGTGACCAACCTACCTACTGTTGGGTACTTGTATTAACTCAGTAGCAACTAATCTGATTTTATGGTTCAACATAAACTATAAAAGAAGAAACAAAAGGGGGTTAAAGAAGCTGAGCACTTTTCTGTACCCAGAAAAGGTCTTGTTTTCTAGATTTCTCTTATGAGCCTTTGTCAGACAAGCCTCTGAACCAGAGCATGGTTTGACTGAAGCCAGCCTGTGTTTGCTCAGATAAGCCAGGCCCAGCTGGCTTTATTACGGTTCCAGATGAGGCAAGCCCCAGGTGATAGGGAAACACAGCCTGTCTGGCCAGCAACCTGGCCTGAGCCTTGTACCCAAAACACCAACCCACGTGACGTGAAGAGTAGGTTTCCTGAGGCAGTGCAACCAATGGCAGCATCTGGCACCGTGTCTGGGCACTGCTTTAGTCATTTCACCTTAGCGAGAGAAGGAAAGTCTCCCGGCCTAGCTGATACTTCCTAAAGCACCACATTCTTCCAGTGGTCAGAACGAGATGCGTGAGAGTAGAGATATATAGTTGCTTCTCGTGCAGAAAGGTGCTTATTTAGCTTAAACTTTTTGGGAAGTATAAAGGGCTATACTAGTTCAGTGCTATATTTGCACATCCAAATAGTCTCCAAACACCTCAAAGATCGTTGCCCTACTTACAGTTTATTTTAGGGACTTAGACTTTCACCATATGCTAAATACCATGCTAGGTTCACTCCCGTAAATGAAAGTCTTTAAAAAAATCTGTATGGATCCTGTTGCTGATATGTCCTTGGAAATTGTAACATCTGTAATCATAATGAGTACAATAACAAAATCACTTCGGTATGTTGGAAGAAGTGTCTGTATTCGATGTACATCACCTTTACCTAATTTTTCTCATCGGAATTCAGTGTCTAGCTATAGCATTCAAAAGGTGCATCCAACAGGAAGATGAGCCATCTTTAACCATCTATTTCATATAAATTATTTTTAATATGTAATGCAACCTGCTCACTAGGTATTAAAAATTGTAAAAGCAAATTGAAGTATTTACATAGAAATGGCATCATGTAAGCAACTATTTGGCATATTTGGGAGGGGCTATTTATGATTATTTTAAATAAGTAGTCTTAACCACAGCTTGTACTTTTCTTCCTATCCTTTTTATGTGTGTGCATGTAACTTGTATGTGGGTGTGTGGGGGACAGCTTGAGGTGCTGTTCCTCAGGAGCTGTCCACCTTGCTTTCTGAGATGGGAATTCTCAATCTGGAATCCACCAATCAGCTAGTCTGTCTTGCCAGGCAGTCCCACAGATCTCTCTGTGTCTACCTCCCTGGGATTATGAGAGCATGCCTCTGTGCCTGGCTCTTTATTTGTTTGTTTGTTAAGTGGTGGAATAGAACTCAGGTCCTGTGCTTGACAGACAAACACTTTATAGACCAAACTATCTCTGTAAGCATTTTTCCAGTCTTCTTCAGACAGTTCCTTGATAATTTCCCTTAAGTTTATAACTGGGGCAAATTGGAAGAAGAGGGGCCTTAAAGAAGTCTAATCCAAGCTGTTTGTTTTACATTATGTTAGTAAACTGAGGCCGAGACATGACAGATGATTTGATCACATCACAGAGCTGGAGAATGGCCAACAGGCACCTGAACAGCTGCTCTTCTGCTCTGGCTTTCTCTTACTCTCACAGGTGACCTTCAGGAAAGGGTCTCTGATGAATGAATGAAAATGGGTCAATGAAAAAAATCATTTCTTCATTCTGGGCGAGCTTATCCTGTGGGTATCAAAATCATGCCAGGCTTCCACTGGCTCCTGAACCAGTCACATGCCCTTATCCAGTGCTGAGAGGAACATCCTTTTCCACATCCACAGACACTTCAAGGGTAGCAGCCAGGACTGTGCTGAAATAAAGGTAAAGACCAGCCAAGGGAAGAGTTCATGAACCTGGGACTATAGGGCTTACCATGGACCATGATGGCCTCTACTCAAGCTTAGAATGAGACTGTCAGAAAGCAGAAAATACTGATTATGGGTTTCCAAAAGCAGGGATCTGGTTGACCCTAACCTACTCTTTCTTCCAAAACCACTCTTACCGTCCAGCCATGGATCACCACAAAGGTCTTGCTGCTGTGGTTGAAATGGCAGTTAGACACAGATTCTGCTACTCCAGGAATAAGATGGCATGTGTCCTCGGCTGTGTCTTCAGGCGTCCTTAGCGCAAATTTACTTTCAATGTCTGAAAAATCTCTTCCCCCTACAAAAAAGGAGATTGGAAGGATTATTTGGTTTTACTTGGGACTGACAGGTTTTAGACTCACAAGCAGTCAATGCCAACAACACTCTTGATTTTTCTAATGCAGGTTTTCAGAAATGAATAGGGGCATGTGCAAGCATGGACCTGAATCCAGAACCCACATAAATGCCAGGTAGGAGTGGTGACCTGCCTGTAATTCCAGCCTCACAAGACAGAGGTGGGCTCTTCAGAGCAAGTTGCAGGAACAGCCATATTGGTGAGCTGGGGTTTGATTGTAAGACCCTGCCTCAAAGACTAAGGTGAAAGTGATTAAGAAAGACTCTTCATCAACCTCAAGCCTCCATGTTCACGTGTACACATGTATATCTACACATATGCAAACATCATACACTGCCACACACACATGCACATAAACGTATTTATAAAAGAAAAAGATGTGGATTGGAAGAGAATGGCTGATGTCCCAGTGGTGACAGCATGGACAGAGATGATCTTCACTGTGAGTTAAGCAATCTGACTGCCCGCCTTTCTTTCAGCCCCCTTCCAGTTAGGGAGTATGTGGGTATATATTTAATTCAAGCAAGTGAACTACTATGTGGAAATTTCTTAATTTCATCGTTTCTCAAGTGACTTGGCAAAGATGGGAAAGAGAAGGTGACTGGCACTCATGACTACTTGTTCAAGTTCAAAGTTTATGCTCCTGGAGGACACTACCCATAGACCTTGTGTGGAGTGGGTCCTCTTACGTTTCAAGTTACTCCACTTTTTAAAAATGTATGATTATATTCATCTGAAGTTTTCCCACAACTCAATTAGACTCATTTGAAGAAAGGACTCTCCCCCATTATCAGAATTTTAAAGAAGGAAAGTCAGGAAGCTGAGGACGCCCTTGCTATTCTAACGGCTACACATGCTGTTTCAAGCCATTCTTGAGAGTGAAGAGTCCACAGATACCATGACATGGGTGAGCCATGTCAATACATCCCCCAGGGAGCTCTCCTCCTCCTTCTGTCCTCAGAATGTTTCCCACATAGTTAGAGCTTTAAAATTACAGCAAATCTTAGCTAGGTGGTGGTGGTGCTTTAATCCCAGCACTTGTGAGGCAGAGGCAGGTGGATCTCTGTGAGTTCAAGGCCAGCCTGGTCTACACATTGAGTTCCAGGACAGCCAAGAGAAACCCTGTCTCAAAACACCAAAACAAACAAATAAGTAAATAAATAACATTAAACCTGGTTGTAGAAGGAGCTTGTTTTTGTTCTAAGTCTTAAACTGGGTAAGGGAAGGTGAACGTAGATTTTAAAACTATTGACATATATCTAAATGCTGATAGCTCTTTTTTTTAATTTATTTATTTTATGTATATGAGTGCTCTATACATGCCAGAACCTGCATGCCAGAAGAGGGCATCAGATCATATTATAAATGGTTGTGAGCCACCGTGTGGTTGCTGGGAATTGAACTCTGGAAGAGCAGACAATGCTCTTATCCTCTGAGCCATCTCTCCAGCCCTCTTGCTGATAACTCTAATGATTATCTGTAGAAAGTAAAAAAATTGTTAAGTTGCTGATACAATCAGAACCTTTTCAGGAAATAGACCACAGAGGACTTAGAGAAAACTACTTATTTCTTGTTCAAGTTATAGACACAGCCCACCTAGTTACTATAAAATATATATATATATATATATATATATATATATATATA